GCCCGGACCCCCGCACCCCGTACCACTCTCCAGCCGCCGCCGTCGGGGCAGCTCCCGCGGGGGTGGCGGGGGCCGCGGCCTCTGTGGGCAATGACACTCGGGGCGCCGGAGGCAGTGGGGACAAACGCCAGCTGGTGTACGTGTTCACCACGTGGCGCTCGGGCTCGTCCTTCTTCGGCGAGCTGTTCAACCAGAACCCCGAGGTGTTCTTCCTCTACGAGCCAGTGTGGCACGTGTGGCAAAAACTGTACCCAGGGGACGCCGTTTCCCTGCAGGGGGCAGCGCGGGACATGCTGAGCGCTCTCTACCGCTGCGACCTCTCCGTTTTCCAGTTGTATAGCCCCGCGGGCAGCGGGGGACGCAACCTCACTACGCTGGGCATCTTCGGAGCAGCCACCAACAAGGTGGTGTGCTCGTCGCCGCTCTGCCCCGCCTACCGCAAGGAGGTGGTGGGGCTGGTGGACGACCGCGTGTGCAAGAAGTGCCCGCCGCAGCGCCTGGCGCGCTTCGAGGAGGAGTGTCGCAAGTACCGCACGCTGGTCATCAAGGGCGTGCGGGTCTTCGACGTGGCCGTGTTGGCGCCGCTGCTGCGAGACCCGGCGCTGGACCTCAAGGTCATCCACCTGGTGCGCGATCCCCGTGCCGTGGCCAGCTCACGCATCCGCTCTCGCCACGGCCTCATCCGCGAGAGCCTGCAGGTGGTGCGCAGCCGGGACCCGCGAGCCCACCGCGTGCCCTTCCTGGAGGCCGCCGGCCACAAGCTGGGCGCCAAGAAGGAGGGTGTGGGCGGCCCGGCGGACTACCACGCGCTCGGCGCTATGGAGGTCATCTGCAACAGCATGGCGAAGACACTGCAGACGGCCCTGCAGCCCCCTGACTGGCTGCAGGGTCACTACCTGGTGGTGCGGTACGAGGACCTGGTGGGAGACCCCGTCAAGACACTACGGAGGGTGTACGACTTTGTGGGGCTGCTGGTGAGCCCCGAAATGGAGCAGTTTGCCCTCAACATGACCAGCGGCTCGGGCTCCTCGTCCAAGCCGTTCGTGGTGTCTGCACGCAATGCCACGCAGGCCGCCAATGCCTGGCGGACCGCCCTCACCTTCCCGCAGATCAAGCAGGTGGAGGAGTTTTGCTACCAGCCCATGGCCGTCCTGGGCTATGAGCGGGTCAACAGCCCCGAGGAGGTCAAAGACCTCAGCAAGACCCTGCTTCGGAAGCCCCAGCTCTGAGAGGGGTTCCAGGGAGATTGTTGCCCTGTGGAGACACCCACAGAGATTGTGGCCTGTTGGAACAAACACAGCCCAGACCCAAACTGAGGAAGCCCACATATCCTGTTATAGACAAATAATATAAATACCACGCAGGCACTTGCTGTCAGTGTTTCAAGTCACTGAATTTCAAGGGACAGCCACAACACACACACACACATCTCAGAAAAGGCACGACTTGAAAGCTCTGACCCGCTCTGGACCCCTCTCCCCTGCCTTTCCCCCCCGCTCCTCTCTCATTTCTTACCTTCTCCCGCACTTGCTGTCAGTGTTTCAAGTCACTGAATTTCAAGGGACAGCCACAACACACACACACATCTCAGAAAAGGCACGACTTGAAAGCTCTGACCCGCTCTGGACCCCTCTCCCCTGCCTTTCCCCCACCCGCTCCTCTCTCATTTCTTACCTTCTCCTCCACCTGCCTTCCATTCTCAAGTGGAACGTTGAGGAAATCAAGTTCCAGTGACCCAGATCTTGTTTACAAAATTGTCGTGGTATCTGTGAACGTGTCAGAGTAATTTGGATGTGGGGTTGGGGTGGGGTGGAGAAAGGGGGGCTGGTGTAGGAACAAAAAGCCCTACTGGGCATGACAAACCAAGGAGGCATTCTTCTAAAGTAGACTTTTGTGTAAAAAGCAAAGGTGACACGTGAGTGTTAATAAAGAAGATAATAAATAATGTTCTTTTTATATTTGGCTCCGTTACTTCGGATTTACCCCTGTGACTTGTCCTAGACAGCTTCAGATAGCATCTGCTTCCCGGCTGCCATCCCCTTTTCTCGAGGACAGCTAAATTGGGTGGGAGCGGCTTCTGCCTCCTTGACGATAACCTGGGAGTTGTTTTCTCACATGTAAGTCACAGCTTGTCAGGTGCCCAGGGATGGGGCGAATCTTCAAATTCTAAAGGCAAAACCCAAGCAGGGCAGTGGGAGAAAAAGCCCACACTACTTTCCTGTTCAGCTGTGAGTACAGAAAGGAAGATGCAACCCTTTGGGGACTGAAAGCATTTGGTTTTGATTACTATTGAGTTAAAAGCAGGGCACCTTGAAGTGGGGACCAATGTTTTGGTCTGGAGGTTGGTTCAGAAAAAGGATGTTTGAAAAAAGTGTGTAACTAAAACGTTCTGATGATTAGAACACAAACCTCAAAAATTAGTGTGAACATATTGTTGGCCCTGGTAGCAACTTCTTTGGCTAGCAAAGTGACAGAAGTATCTGTGTCTGGAATGTTTTTCTGCCTCTGACACAGTGTGCAGAGGTGTATGAAAGCAGTGAAGTTTTATCTGAGAACCATAAAAGAACTCAGGTTGTTCCTCTTTCTCGCCTCCCATCCAAATTAGTACAAGAGCGAATGGGAATTTATAATGGTTTACTCGGGATATCTTGTTTTTCTTTATCTTGTTTCCTAAAAGTAAACTTGCAAAGAAAATAACATGCTGCAGACAGTATAAGGCTTCATCCAAGAGCTTCTTTTAGATATAAAAATAAGTTATGGGGTAAAAAGAAATGAATTAGAGTGCAGGATTTTGAAATTTGGTATTTTTCAGAGAGAAAACCATTGAATTTTCCTGCAGTGGTTATGGTGTTGCTATGTCCTAAACACATTTTGTACTGAAGCATTCTGCAGAGTGTCATATTATAAGGAAGCCTGGGTAGGAACAAGACACAGTGTAGTCGTATAATACATTAAATACGGTAGAAGTTCAGCACCATCATGTCTTTATTTTACTATAATTTATTATGAGATCTCTGAAAGCTGACATATGTAGGTTAAAGGCTGAGGATTTTAGTTTAGGAAAAAGATGATGAAAAAGTAATATGTACATAGGAAATAACACAAGATGACTCTTAAATATAATTATCATTTTAAAGTGAAATCTAACTATACTGGTAAGAATTCCAAGATAAGCACAGGGGTCTAAAGAAAGGTATAAAATCCATTTAGCAGTGGATTTTATAACGCATTCTAGAGTGGTATTTCTTAATTTACTAAAATAGTTTATAGTATTGTGTTTATTAGGCTAGATTACAGCTATAATGCATTGATCATGATTTTCATGATTTTTTTGTGGTAGTGCCTTTGCTGAACTATCTTCAGCACCAGTAGACTGTTTATGATAGATTTAATTTAAGCATACTTTAAATGAACAAAATAAACATTAATGTTGGATGATTATAGATGAAATAGGCTTAACAGGAAATTAAGATAGCATCATTAAAAAGCAACCACTCTGAATAAAATAACCATTTAAAACCAAATTTCATGTGGCATTAGAATCAGCTCCTATCAATCACAGTGAGGTTCATGCCTAGTTCTTGAGTGAAGGATTTTAAGCAGTTGAATTTATTCTTCTCCCCGTGCATCTAAGGACTTGCGTTGAGTTAAAGTAGAAATACGATGTTTTTGGATCTTGTATTAAAAAAATATTAGATGCTATGTAGAGACTTTGCATTCTGCAGAGCATTTGTGTCCTCTGCTCAGATGAAATTTTAAGGTAAACACCAGCAGGTCTCCCCTGCTCTGTTTGAACCGGGTTTCTGCCTGTGATTCCCTTGTTTTGTAGCAGCTGCATTCTCTCCACTTTGCACTCCCCGGGTCTGTAATTTGAAAGGTGAATTGTTGCTCCTGGAAATTTGTGCCTAGCTGCATTCTAGGAAAGCGAGACAGGTGGTGTTCTCACTAAAGGCTGAGATAGTCGTATCAGTGGCATTCAGCTTCCAGGTTTAAGAAGGAGAGAAGCATTTTTGGTGTTAACAAGCTTCTGTAAGCCCCTGGTGTGAGCAGACCTGTGCCACAACAAATTGCAAGAGCCTGTGACCATTTCTGAGGCAGCAAATGTGACAGAGATCCCTTCACATTTTCCAGCCTGGCAATATGTCTATCAGCAGGAGGAAAAAATCATCAGAGTGATTTTTATTTTCAAATTCTTCTCAACCGATAGCACACCTGACTACCCCTTTGGCTTTGGAATGCCTTTGTTAATTAGAAAGCTCTTTTTATAAAATGAAGTCTACCCAGTGCATTTAGTCAACAAATAAGAGTTTGGAACGAGGCAGAGGCACAGGCTGGCTGCTTGAGTTTCCAGGAGCTAAGAGCCACTCAAAGCCTTCATTCAGACTGACCCCTGGGTACCATGCTGGCAGAGATGGGAGCAGAACTGTCCCCTTCAGCGTCTACCACATAGTAAATGCATGATAAATATTTATTACATAAATGAATTAATATGTAACTGTCAAATTTTGAAAATGCTCAGAAGGGAGAGAGTAGAAGAATGTGTTCCCTGTTTGGAGAAAGTGTGATGCTATTCAATAAAGTTTGCTGAAGGAAGTGGGCCACAGGTTCTATTTAGATATGGGGAGTGAGCAACAGGGATATTTTCAACATTTCCAGGGTGACTGTGCATAGACCAATATTTGCCAAATACGGGGAAATAAAAATGTAGAATTCCTGAATGCGGAGAGGTAAAAGTTTCAAAAAGTTTGATTTTTACCATTTGTTTTCCCAGCTGCATTTACAACATAAAGGCAGTGATCAGAACATATGTGCAGAACAAGTGCTGCTCAGGTGCCAAAGGGAGGGCTATAAAGTTACTCATTTTTGCAGAAGCCATGCAACACATATTGTCCTGAGTGCTGTGAATGTGCAATCTGAAGGGCTGTGATGTAGGTTTTACCCAGCCATAGGAATAGTTACTTTCAGGCAGTCTGTCCTAATGTGGACACTGGATGAGACAATGGCTGCCTGTTCCTGTGCATCCCTCCCTGGCCACGGCCAGTTCTGTCCAGGATTTCTGTTGTGCACAGTACATTTGCTGCTGGGTTATGCTGTCAGTGTGAAATTAATGCGAATTTGGGTGAAGCTATTAAACTAATATTCCCTGGGTCCTAAGCAATGAAATAAAGATCATGTTTAAAAGCTAGTCTTTAGAGATGACTTTGGGAAGAGCTAGAGACAAATAAAAAGGTGTGTCTCATCATGTAGTTGCTTTAAGTAAAAATGAGCTGTCACTCTACCACCCTCCCCCAACTTTCTTACTTTCCTATACACAACACACAAGCACACACACATACAATTGAGTTTCTGCATTGTCTTGAGCTCTGGACAAGAGAATGTTTTAATGCCACCTAACAAGTATGGGGTGAGGTACACTTTTGATCTGAGGCCTCTGGAGAGTGAGTGACCAATTCTTATATCAGAACCTATGACAGTTCTGTGTCACAAACCAACGTGGATAGGGAGAAAATGACAATCGCAATTTGAGGAATGGCTTGAGTTGTGTGACGGGATGTCCCGAGGTAAATGCATAGTTTACAGACCCCTTTTGTCACTCACTTTGAGGAGAGCCCTTTCAAATCTGTCATGTGTGTCACAAACCAACGTGGATAGGGAGAAAATGACAATCGCAATTTGAGGAATGGCTTGAGGTGTGTGACGGGATGTCCCGAGGTAAATGCATAGTTTACAGACCCCTTTTGTCACTCACTTTGAGGAGAGCCCTTTCAAATCTGTCAATGCGAAGAAAGTAGTTTGTTTAAATACCTTCGCTCCTTTCTGGAAATGCAGTTGCTACCTTCATGGTTCTAGTACAAGCCACTCAGCTGCTCGGGTAAAGGCTTTAGTACAAGTGTTTAATAATTGAAATCACAGGGCTTGACTTTTATTACATCTGCAGCAGTTCTGCACACCCTTAATCAAATTATGCTAAGGAAAATGTTAAGTTCTGCATAGCACATTAAGTTTATAAAAGGGGAAACATTATGAACCGGTGTTTGGGGGTGGTATTGTTTATAAATGTGAAGGAGCTTTGAATTTGGTAACAGTATGATATAGGGTGACCAAGGCCAATGCTTAACTTTTGGTCAAACCAGTTATCTGTAATTAAGTGTCAAAAATATTTTTGGGCTGCTTGAACTTTCAGGTTTGTAATCATCATCCTGTCAGGTTAATGACAGTGAAAACGATCACTGTAACCAAAAGCTATACTCAGAACCATTCTGTAATGGCTCCCATCCCAGGGGTATAGACAGGGCCTGATGGAAATTCACCTTGAAGCAGTTAGTCTTCTAGACAGGACCAGCTACATAGGCTGCAGGGCTCAGTGCGAAATGACAATGCAGTGCCCTTGTTAAAAAATTATTAAGCCTTTCAAGATGGTGATAGCAGATAATTAAACCGAGTGTGGGCCCCATGCAATGTGCAGGTGGTATGCCCCTGAAGCTGGTCCTGCCTCCAGATGCAGGGAATGAAATGTCCAGCTACAGGAGAGATCAAATAATGGTGTCCTACAAGTTCCTGAAAAATGGGTGCAAAGATAAGAGTTATTGTGTGAAGTAAAAGTGAAAACATGCACGTGCACTTTGGAGGTGAATGCACAAGTGACAGATAGTCCTTGGCAATTGAAACAAGTGATTGACAATCCCCTCTCAATCATCAGTTGGGCACAAGAACACTCAGGATCCTGTTCAAGACTGAGAGAGCAGGTGCTGTTCTTGGGATCCTTCTTGCATGAGGACAGAGAACATGACCTCCTTGTCCTCCAGCACGTGGAAGCTGGCAAGTTCTTCTAATAAAAGTGTTCCCTTCCTTCTGGGACTTTTGTGGGTCTCTCTATTTAATAGAGACAGAAAGTACATGCATGGAAAAGTTAAAGTTCAAGTCACAGTAAGCTTAAGGAGTGCAGGTAGAAGCTG